CGAGGATGATAGTGATGGTGATGGTGATGGTGATGATGAATGATTTTGTGATCGTCATGAATGATGATGCTGATGATGCTGATGGTGATGCTGATGGTGATGATGATGCTGATGATGATGATGCTGATGATGATGCTGATTCTGCTGATGATGCTGATGCTGATGCTGCTGCTGCTGCGGATGATGATGGTGATGGTGATGGTGATGGTGAGGTGAGGGTGAGGGTGATGGTGATGGTGATGGTGGTGATGATGATGCTGATGATGCTGATGATGCTGATGATGCTGCTGCTGCTGATGATGATGATGATGACGATGATGATGATGATGATGATGATGATGATGATGCTGCTGCTGCTGCTGCTGATGATGATGATGATGATGATGATGATGATGATGATGATGATGATGATGATGATGATGATGATGATGATGATGATGATGATGATGATGATGCTGATGCTGATGAAGATGAAGATGAAGATGAAGATGATGATGATGATGAGATGATGATGATGATGATGATGATGATGATGATGATGATGCTGATGATGATGATGATGATGATGATGATGATGATGATGATGATGATGATGATGATGATGATGATGATGATGATGATGATGATGATGGTTGTGGTGATGATGATGATGATGATGATGATGATGATGATGATGATGATGATGATGATGATGATGATGATGATGAGGAGGAGGAGGAGGAGGAGGAGGAGGAGGAGAGGGAGGAGGAGGAGGAGCTGGAGTAGGTGGAGGAGGAGGATGAGGAGGATGAGGGGAGGAGGAGGAGGAGGAGGAGGAGGAGGAGGAGGAGGAGGAGGAGGAAGATAATCATGACGGTGCTGTTTTTTGTTTACTTTCGCTTCGGGGGGTGACTCTAGGGAGGCAGAATCGCGCAATGCCAGTCACTTACCCTCCATTGAGACGTTGCCGAGGAAGCGAGGCTCAACCAAGCCCTACCCCAGAGAGGGGTGGAGATGTCCTGAACCACCGCGTTGCCAGGCCGACGGGCGACGCTGTCATGCTTTCATCTGGCCGTGCACGCTGCCTGGCGAGGCTCGAGTGCGGCTCTACCGATCCTTGCCGTCCCTGACTTTCGGGGGCTGCCACGCCAAGCCGATCCCGCGCCCGTCCTTCGAAGACCACCCCCGCATCCTTCATCATCTCGAAGTCAGAGAAGCCCCCTAGGTTCCGACCTGCAGGTCTGGACCGTCTTACACCAGAAGGCCGGTGACAGGGTGAGCCTGGAGATGCACGGTGGCCTGCGCCATGGGCACTGGGTGCCAGCCGTTGCCCTGAGCTCGGAGTGAAACGAGGGAAATTGGGAGGGGCAGGTTTTACAGATCCTAGTTTGTTGTTATGCCAGCCTTATTTTTGCCTGCCCGTGCAGGAGTGTGCAAACGTAATGCGAAACTGACCTTGGAAGTCAGTCTGCTGTGTTGTTGTGCTACTCAGTCTTGTGCGTCGGTCTAGTTCACGTTTGAATTCTGAAAGTCAGTCTGGTACGTTGGTATGCTAGTTCGACTTTGAATCCTCCACCCCCAAAGCCAACAATTCAACCCCGGCCATTCCGCCACATGTGTTGGCCGCGATTCTAGTTTGGCTGTCTGAACACGTTGGGGACGGAGGCGAAGGAGGATGAAGAGGTAGGGGGAAGTCCCTGATTGGCAGGGTCTGCCAAGTCTTGGCAAAACTGCGCTGCTGGACTGAAGCTTTGTACATTCTAGTGCGTTGGATTACTAACTAGCCTTACTTTGGCCTGCCCTTTCAGGAGTGGCTGACAATCATAGAAACCTGGCCGTGGACTTCCCACCCCTTCATCCATTCATCGCCCCTCCCAGTTTGGCAGTTGGGCCTGCCTTGCTCCATGGACGCTGGCTTGGTATGCGAGAGAGGCGAGGGAAGAAGTATGAAAGGCCGGTTGAGCAAGACTGCTGCACGCTCAAGTCTAAGGGTGGATGCACTTTTTTTGCGCCCCTCCTGTACAATGCTGCACGCAAGAGATGACGTGTAAACCGATGAAGATGAATCCTGCGGGCGCCTCCAATATATGTGCAAGAGGGTTTCTCTGAGCTTTGGTTTCTACCACTCGTCTGGAGCATCTGGACGGGGTCCTCCCACTTACCCTGCTACCCCTGCAAACTAGGTTTTCTAAACTCGATGATTTACTACTCGACTGATGTGAAATGTGCCAACCATTGGCATGGAGGCTCTGGAAATGGTTGTCCGTCCGATTTAGGAATGTATATGAAACTTGCTATGCCCATTTGATCGCACTGTAGCTATCTAACCACTTCGCTGGAGGATCTGGAAGGGGGGGCTTCCGCTCCCCTCCGAATTACCGTAGCCTTTGTAATTCCATTCTTAGGGTAAACGTACACAAAGTCGACTGCAAAGGAACGGTGTCTTTGGGGGGTTCTCCCGCCCGCCTGCGCAATTTGCTAGGTGGGGAACTTTCCTTATCTCATACTTTACTTTTGAGTAGCTTACTGAAACATCAGACTCATCGTCATTCTTGTCATCTTTTGCGGACTTGCGCTGGATGGAAGTAGTAACCTTGTCTGTGTTGCGAAGCTCTGCCCTCGCGGCGGCTAGCTCCTGCTGGAGGGAATGGATCTTGGCCTCTCCGTTCTTGAATTGGTTCGCCTTCTTCAACTCCTGGACGTCGTTGAGATGCTTGGTAAGCAGTCGATGCGCGCCCCGTGGAGGCCTTTCCAGAGATCGTCTAAACTCCTGGACTGTGGCTTCTCCTGCGGTGGGCTCCAGGGCATCGCCTGCGATGTCGGTGTGGGGGTTTCTTTCTTTGCCTTGAGGGTGCGCGAGAAGGAGTCGGAGGCCTAGGCCCGGTTGCCGATGGAACCTTGGCATTGCCGTAGCTGCTTCATCTGACCATGCATGTGCACATACGCAAAACGGCCCCTTGTGGCATCGAGTTGCCCACAACCAGTGTCCGCACCTGGTCACGCCACGTATACAGCCTTTTTTACGGTAATGATGCACCTGCGGATTCATGCACGACGTGGACGTGTCGCGGTCCTGAGCGAAAGGTGGGGTGCGCGGGCTGGCGACGGCATTATGATGCCCCGAGCCGAAATGGCTTGAGGCAGCTGGCTACAGATGAAGACGGTAATGGTGATGATCATGAGGATGACGTTGAGGAGGAGGAGGAGGAGGTGGAGGAGGATGAGTATGTGGATGTGGGTGATGGCGATGACGATGACGATGACGATGACGATGATGTTGATGCTGGTGATGATGATGCTGCCCATGGTCGCGGTGGTGGTGATGATGCTGATGATGGTGATACTGAGAATGACGATGCTGCTGCTGATTATAGTAATGATGATGCTGATGATGATGGCGATGCTGATGACGACGATGGAACATGATCAGACAGAGGACATGGGATATGATGTTGTTTATGATGATGGTGCTACTGATGAGGATGTTGATGAGAATACAGACGATCATTACGATGAGTGGTGATAATGACGAGGATGATTATGATGCTAATGAGGACGATGATGAGGATGACGCTGATGCTGATGATGCTGATGAAGACGATGACGATGACGATAAGGATGCTGCTGCTGATGACGATGATGACGATGATGATTCTGCTGATGATGCTGATTATGATGATGCCCATGATGATGCTGCTGATGATGATGCTGACGATGATGATGATGATGATGATGATGATGATGATGCTGATTGTGATGATGCTGATGATGGTGGAGATGCTGACGACGATGATGAATGCTGATGCTGATTACTGATGCTGCTGATGCTGATGCTGCTGATGATGGCGGTGATGGTGATGATGGTAACGATTGTGGTGATGATGCTGAGGATTGTACGTCGGATTCTGGTTACGATGACTGTGGCGGTGATGCTGATGATGCTGATGATGCTGATGATGACGATGACGATGATGATGATGCTGCTGCTGCTGATGCTGATGCTGATTATGATTACGATTATGACGATGCTGCTGATGATGATAATACTGTTGATGATATTGATAATTGTGCTCATGATGCTGATGACGATGATGATGATGATGATGATGATGATGATGATGATGATGATGATGACGACGATGACGATGACGATGATGGCGGGGATGCTGCTGCTGCTGCTGCTGATGATGATGATGATGATGATGATGATGATGGTGGTGATGGTGGTGGTGGTGGTGATGATGATGATGGTGACGATGACGATGACGATGATGACGATGATGATGATGATGATGATGATGATGATGATGATGATGATGATGATGATGATGATGATGATGATGATGATGAATAGTGCTTAGGAAGAGGAGGATGAGGAGGAGCGGCAGGATAAGAAGGATGAGCATGAGCATGATCACGAAGGAGGAGGGTATAGGAACAGGAACAAGGAGAGGAAAATGAAGAGTGGGAGGAGGAAGGGGGAGGAGGAAACGAATGGGGAGGAAAGGATTGACCAGGTGGAGGTGGGGCGAAGGAGAAGAGGTGACAAGGAGGATGGGATGTGGAGAGAAGGAGGAGCAGGAGGAGGAGGAGGAGGAGGAGGAGGAGGAGGAGGAGGAGGAGGAGGAGTAGGTGGAGGCGGAGGGGGGGAGATTCTGAGGAGACTGAATGGAGGAGGCGGAGGAGGATTTTTCTTAAGCGACTGTATGATCTGTGTTACCGCTTCGTGCTTTGCCTGACTGCGGCGAGCTATGTGGGAGAGTGAAAGGCCAGAAGGAGGAAGAGGACGAGGAGGAGGACACGGAGGAGGCGGGCGGCGGAGGAGGAGGAGGGTGAGGAGGAGGAGGAGGAGGAGGAGGAGGAGGAGGAGGAGGAGGAGGAGGAGGAGGAGGAGGAGGAGGAGGAGGAGGAGGAGGAGGAGGAGGAGCAGGAGGAGGATGGAGGAGGAGGGAGGAGGGAGGAGGACGGAGAGGAGGAGGTTCATATTCTTTGTTGGGAGCTGTTGCTGTGGCCGCGCCGAGGAGGGCCGCAAGGTCTCCGACTACACGCAGAAAGGCCGCTACCGGAGCCGTCCTTGTCATCCCACCCGTACTGAGCGGTCCTCGTTCGACAGGCCCTGTCCAGACCTCCAGGTGTCGCGAGCACAGGGAACACAAAGGAGCGCTTCTGGCACCGTGCTGGAGCATCGATCCAGCCCGTGGTCCGCAGTTCGGGCTGTGTCGGAGGTTGATAGACCTCCTACCCTGACGCGTCCTTTAGCGAATTGGCCGTTTTCGGTTCTCGAGGGGGCGTCGCGGCCGTCATTTTTGCGGGTCCAGGTCCGTCGGTTTCGGCCCCAGGCTGTTTTCACGAAAGGGTGGTTTACGAAAGGGAGGCTTGTCCAGAATGGCGGTGTAGAGGCCAGGGCGCGAGGGTTCGAGGCGTTGTGGAGCTGGGGGTGGCAGCCCAGCTGGGGTGCGATTCCGGCTGGAAAAGCTGGCAGTTCCTTTACCCGTGGGCCCTCTTCGCTGCGGCTTCCCTCTACTGGAGCAGGATGCCCAAGGCCTCGATCCGCAGCCAGTGAGATGGCTGCTTGGTCGTGGCACCCGCCTTGGGCACCAGTGGCCGTGGGTCGACAGCAGTGGTCGTGCGGTCCTCCGGGCGGTCAAACTGTTGGCGTGCCGCTGGCGCCGGGGGCAGCCGATTTCCAAGAGTATGCGGTTAATGCCGGGCGAGAAGTGGGCGTATCTTCTGGTCCTACAGTCGGGGCCCTGAAGAAGGAACCCTTTTCCTTGGGGAGGGGCTCGGTGTTCCTGCGTTGTTTTGCAGTTCGCCTCAGGGTTTCCTTATGTTTTCGACCAGAAATCGAAGGTTCACTTATGGAAACAAGAGGCCTCGTTCCTTATTCAGGGTTCCTTAGGTCAACGCCCCGACTGTACCCTCTCCGAGCCCCCCAGGGGTTGGGGCGATCGGACTCAATTCATGGGAGGTTGAATTCCGCCTCGGCGGCAGCAGTTCCTCGGCCATGATCCGGCATTGTCCGCCGAACCACTCGCCTTGGGATGGCTCAGCCTTGGGCTTGATCTGGCCTCGTACGGCGCAGCAGCAATCCCCATCGGGCCTCGCAGTGCGCAGTCTCTCCCGCGCAGGCCAGGGCTGGACCTGGACGGTGCTCCGGCCCTCTCGTGGGCCGCTCTGTTTTTTGCTCTGCTTTGCATGCAGGGCGAAGCGCAGGCAAACCGAGGAAGAACGACAAAACAATACGAAAACGAGAAGCACCGTTTCGTGAAGGGGCCCTGGGACACACGAATAGATAGACACGAATAACAGGATTCCCCGTATTTTCCAATACTTTCTGGGTTTTTTGTCTTCCCCCCCACTTCCCACATGTTCTTATATTTTTCTGGGGAATCGACGATTCATTGTGCCTGTGTGTTTTTTTCCCTCCTGTTGCAGGTTTAGCCCTTGGCGCAGACCTCCCAGGCGCGGCCTCCGAAGGGGCGTCTGCGCGCCCTCGGTGCTGTGGCACCCCGACGGAACGAGGCACCGACGCCCTGAGAGGGCGGGCCGGCGAGGGGGGGCGAAGGTCGGCGGCGAGCGAGGGGGGGAAGTGAGAACCGAAGGGGAAAATGGCACACGAACAGAACCTTTTGGCGCTCCGCGCGGGTTTCTCGGGTCCGCGCTGGGGCCCCCCTGGCGGCGCCTCCGGCGCCGCCCCTGGCGCGCTCCGCGCGCCAGGGAGGGGGGGTCCAGCGCAGATCCAAGGAATCCGCGCGGAGCGCCAAAAGTTTGTTTATGTGGCTTTTTGTAGCTTTCTCTTTTCCTAGAGAAGGAGAAGGCCTTCCCAGAAGGCTCGGAAGTCCCCCAGCCTTCCGAGGAGTGTTCCGAGCCCTCCCCGAAGGCACATAAAGTCTCTCGGCAGGCCGGAGGGCTTCTGAGAAGTCCCGCCGCCTTCTGAGAAGGCCTTCTTTCAGGCGATCACAAGCATGGATCAAGGAGGCGAGGATTAGCGACGGGTCCCATTTCCATAAGAAATCGCGGAGTCCCACCGCCGAACGAGGCGGCACCGGCCGCGTTTTGGGGAGGGCACCTCCCCCGATCCATGGATTTGGCGATCGCGCGCCAAATCCATGGATCGCTAATCCAGGCCAGCCACAACTGGGGGAGCTGTGGTGCTTACCCCCATGGGGGACCCATCGATTTCGACACGCCTCTCGAGAGATCGTCGAGGCGATGGGTTCCACCAGGGGGGTAAGGACCACAGCTCCCCCAGTTATGGCTGGTCGGTAATCCATATTTTTGCGAGCCCCCGATTCTCCTTCTCATTTTCCCCCCTTTGCTCGCCACCGAACGTTGGTGGGCTAGCACGCGTCCCGAGGATCGTCGGCCTGCGGTGCGAGCGCCGGCAGGGCGCCAGACTGCCCGAGAGGCGTGCGAGAAGAGCACCCGCAGCCGAGCCACATCCCCACGGGTCGCCCTACCCTGGTTTGCGGGGCGCCCTGTGCTGAGCCTCCCGTGGGCTGACCGGGGAAGCCCTGCGTGTGTCGCGCGTGCCGCGCGGCGTCCTGGCGGCTCTCTGGCCTGCGGGAGCTCCCGGGAGGTCTATTATACAGACCGCGCACTTGTGTAACCCAGGCTGGGGGCGCTTCCTCATCCCTCGAGTTGGCATGGCGCTGGCCCCACTGGCCGAGATCCCCCCCCCCTTGAGCGTGGGACTGCCCCCCCCTCGTTCGCCGCCGCGAGGGGCAGCCCCGCACGCCGCGCTGCTGCTCGAGCGTGCGGCGCGGAACCCGGGAGGGGAGCTGCGCTTCGCTGTTTTTTATTCAATTGTATTTTTGTTGCTGTTTTTGTGTGTTTGTTTCCAGTTTTGTTGTGGTTGTGGTTGTGGTTGTGGTTGTGGTTTTGGTTGAACATTATTTATTCTAAAGAATAATTATTGTTGGGCCCCCTGGTGCGCGCCCCCCCTGCGCCGCCTAGGCCGCAGCTACATTTTCATCATTTTCGTGAGGAAGCCTCAGAAAAGAGGGTGTGTACAGGATCCGGTTGTTTTGTTGTAATCCGCTTTCCCTTGCAAAAAACAATAGAAAATGACATTTCTTGTTCTAATATAATCAAATTTCAAGAATCCCTTGCAAAAAATAAGGTAAAGTGGACATTCGCGCGCGCAAGACGAAATCCTTCCAAAACCTTAGTGTTCGCAGCGATTTTAACATAAAAACATCAAAAAACCAATGGTTTTTCAACAAAAAATTGTCAAAATCTCATCCCGCGCGCTCTTGCGGATTCGTAGGAAACCCAACACTTTTTAAACATTTCTGTCAAACGGGCTTTTGCGAGCAACTTTTTCGAACTTCTGCAACAACGGTTGCGCACCTGCCAGGGCCATCATCCCTGTCAAATAATACCATGCGGGACACATTCGTTTTTTCTTCGCGCGCGCACGCCGTCGTCGTCGGCCGCGGGGCCCTGAATAGTAGCCACGGTCGTCCGCATGCCACGAAGTGAAGTGTCCGAACGTCATAGGGCGGGAAGCTGGGTGTGGGTGGTGGCGAAGAGTCGTTTGGAAATTTGGTAGAGCTTGAACCGGCCCCCCCACAAAGTGGGGGTATTGCCCGCCTCCTATGAAAACCCTGGCACTGGTGAGAACGGAGTGTCCCCAGTCTTAAATGATTGTTGTTGTTGTTGTTGTTGTTGTTGTTGTTGTAACTCTTATTGTTGTTATTGCCGTTGTTGTTGCTGGTGTTGTTGTTGTAGTTGCTGGCTGTTGGCGTTGTTGTGGTTGTTGCTGACGATGTTGTTGTTGTTGTTGTTGTTGTTGTTGTTGTTGTTGTTGTTGTTGTTGTTGTTGTTGTTGTCGTTGTCGTTGTCGTTGTCGTTGTCGTTGTCGTTGTTGTTGTTGTTGTTGTTGTTGTTGTTGTTGTTGTTGTTGTTGTTGTTGTTGTTATTGTTCGTATTGCTGTTGCTGCTGCTGCTGTTGTTGAGCTCTCATTTCTGAAGAATAATTATTGTTGATCCCCCCCGTCCGGTGCACATTGTTTTTTTTTCGATTGATGTGCCCTTCCTGGGGCTCGCACCTTGTTTTTTATCAGGCAAAGTCGTAAGGGTCAACAACGGCCCCCAGTTTACAACAACAGCGGCTCCCGCCTGAGACTTCCTCACAATTTAGCCAGGACCCACGCTCCCGCCCGAGACTTCCTCGCGTTTGATTCAGGAACCGCGCTCTCGCTTGGGACTTCCTTAGGATTTATTCTCCCGGCGCTCTGGAGTCGCGCTCTCGCTGGAGATTTGCTTGCAATTTACTGAAGAATAGCGCCCTTGCGTTGGAATTTCTTACAATTTACTCCAGCGCCGCGCTCCCGACACCCAGGCACCCAGGAGTCACGCTCACGCTGAGGACTCCTTCACAGATTATCTAGGAATCGGGATCTCGCTGCCCTTCGTGGCCCCCTTGCAGCCCTTCGTGGCCCCCTCGCTTTGTTTCGTGGCCCCGTTGCAGCCGTTCGTGGCCCCCTCGCTTTGTTTCGTGGCCCCGTTGCAGCCCCTCGTGGCCTCCTCGTTGCCCTTCGTGGCCCCGTTGCAGCCCTTCGTGGCTCCCTCGCTTTGTTTCGTGGCCCCGTTGCAACCGTTCGTGGCCCCCTCGCTGCCCTTCGTGGCCCCGTTGCAGCCCTTCGTGGCCCCGTTGCAGCCCTTCGTGGCCCCCTCGCTGCCCTTCGTGGCCCCGTTGCAGCCCTCCGTGGCCCCCTCGCTTTGCTTCGTGGCCCAACATATGTATGCCCTTCGTGGCCCCCGCTCGTTCGCGCCCGTTGTGGCCCCATGTGCATGCCTTTCGTGGCCTCGCTGTCGCCGTTTGTGGTCCCCTCGCTGCACTTCGTGTCCCCGTTGCTGCCCTCAGTGGCCCCGTCCGTACCCTCCGCGGCCCAACATACGTATGCCCTTCGTGGCCCCCGCTCGTTCGCGCCCGTTGTGGCCCCATGTGCATGCCTTTCGTGGCCTCGCTGTCGCCGTTTGTGGCCCCCTCGCTGCACTTCGTGTCCCCGTTGCTGGGAAGAACAGAGCTTGCAGTGTGGTGGTAACATTCGTGGGAGACTCTCCGGTGGGGGGGCGGGTTAGCATGCCATGCGGTGCAGCAGAAGAGGCAGCGAGATCCGTGGCCATTGTGGCTCAAGGATCGCTGCAACTCTCTGCCCGCTCTGGACCCGCCGCTTCTCTCAGATTTCGAGTGGATCTCGTCGGCATTGCCATGTCGATCGACCCAACCAGCACCGAGGCCGCATCCATGGCGGCCATCAACGATGTCGCGACGTGGGCCGGACTCGTGGGAGAAGGTCCGACATCGGCCAAGGGGAGCCTGTACACCCTCCTAGGAGTCACAGGCGCGGAGCACCCCAGGGTCCTGGGGGGGATCCCCATGGCCGAGTTCGACGCGATCATCGACCGCTGGGTCATCGAAAACAGAGGCGAAGGCGGAACAGCCGCGCCACCCTCGCCGGCTGAGAAAAGCCAAGGTGGGTTGTTGGGGCGAGCGTGCCGCGTTCTGACCGGGATGCAGGCTTCCGCCACCCAGGTGCAGGCCATGACCATCGCTGGCGGTGGCGGCGGCGGCGGAGGAGGGGGCGGCGGTGGGGCCGCGGCGGCGGAGGCGGCAGAGGAGATCAAGCGGGGCGAGGCCTTCGCAAGGTCAAGATGTCCATCGTCATCGACCAGTCGGACGACAGTGAGGTCGAGGTCCTGGACAGCATAAAGGTTGCGGAGGCGTACGCGCGCTACCACGCGCGCATCGGCGCCTTCCCACCAGCAGACGAGGAGCTCTCGGCCGAGCAGCTCTCGTGTCTCCATTCGTTACTCGAGAACGGGAGGCCCCCCTACACCGACATGGCGGTCTGGGGACCGTCCTACCACAGGCTCCAGAAGAAGATCCGCCTCAAGGGGTCCCGGCTGCACCCATCAGGCACGATCACACCCGTGGAGTTGTGCGGCCCCTGCGACTACGAGACGTGGGCCGAGTGCTACGCCGTGTTCAAGACAGGGGTCCTTATGTTCAACCAGCTCACCCCCGCGCGCCTGGGCGCCTACGAGAAGCACATCAGGCACTACCACGAGCGCTACGGGCGCGACCAGTGGGCCATCATCTACCAGGCGGACGTCAGGGCGCGTCTGGAGCTCAGCGAGCGGCTCCGCAGGCGCGGCCAGGAAGAAGCGTCGCGGGCCGCTGCCACCGGCAAGCTCCACGACTTCGATCCGCGAGCCCCTTGGGAGTGGGTCTGGAAGCACCTCGTCGAGGAGAGCTCGTTCTGGCACCGCGAGGTGGAGGAGCCTTGCCTGCTCGTGCTGGCCAAGACGAAGTCCCTCGGCACAATGCTTGAGAACGATGCGCCCGTCGAGGGCCACCGGGGCAGCGGCGCCAGTGGACAGAGCCAGGGCGCCAACAAGAGGAAGTCCAAGGCACCGTCTCAGAGGAACAGCGCGACGCCGCCCCCGGAGAAGGTGCACCGCGTCGACGAGCAGGGCCGGTACGCGCACAACCGGAAGGGCGCAAAGCTATGCGCCGACTTCCAGAGCGGCAGGTGCCAAGATGGCCCCATTACCGGCGTGTGCCCGCTCCAGCCGGGGCACCGGCACCAGTGCAACAGGTGCCTCTTGCCCACGCACGGCGGCGAGGCCTGCAAGCCGGGCGCGAAGGGCGGGGGCCGCGGTCGGGGCCGCGGAGGAAAGGGCAGGAAGTGAAGTGACACGGCGGCCCCGCGGACAGGACCGGCGTCCGCGGCGAGCCCGACACAAGAGCCGGCACGAGCGCCCTCGAGGCGCGAGGCAGCGGGGACCAAGGATTGTGCTACACATCATCCCGCGCCTCTTCCTGGGGATGCTGGCAGGGACGCAGGTGACCCATGCTCTAATGTGAAGCGACGACGCCTGGCAAGGCCGGTCGGGGCCGAGTCGCTGAGTGGAGCGTTGGGAGTGTGCGCCCCAACCAGCATAGATGCGCTCCCCTGCGCCCAGCACGATTTCCTGCATCTCCCGAGCGGGTTGGCCAGGGGCCAGAGACACCTGCACGTCTTCAGCGGCCGGCGCGGCCGCGCTGGCAGCTTCGGCGAGGCGGTCAGGTCGATGGGCGGCGAATGCGCGGAGGTGGACGTCTGCAACGGCCCCGACTTCGATTTACTGAATGAGGACATCTTCGGGGCTGTAGTCAGCCAGATCAGGAGCGGCGAGTACCGCGGCATATTGCTGGAGCCGCCTGCTTTCGCGAAGACGGCCTACCTGAGAACAGGCAGCGGCGCCGAGAGATATGGCCGGAAGCACCTCAAGCCGAGCGAGACGAAGCAGGTCAAGGAGGGCACGCTGCTCGCCTTGCGCAGCCTGTCGGTGATGGAGGAGGCGGCGACCGTCGAGTGCCCGGCCATCCTGGTGCAGCCGCTGCTGGAGGACGACCCCGAGGCGATCAGCATGCTGAAGCTGGACGAGTTCGTCGACTTCCGCGAGCGCGAGCCGACGTGCATGCTCACGCACTCCGCGCGTCCCGGCGCAGACGGGGCCCGCGGCGACAAGATGATGTCACTGCTGACGACGCGAGTGGACTGCTCGGACCTGTCGCCGCGCAGCCTGCCGCGGGCCGGCCGCGAAGAGCACTCCCGCCAGGCGGCGGCCGCGCAAGCAGACGCAGTTGGTCTCAACAAGTACTTCGCCGTCAAGCTTTGCTTGGCTGCTGGCGCGCCTGCGCCGGCGGCAGCGCAGGCGGCGAGCCCGGCCGCGTTCGCGAGGACGGGCTACTGGGGCAACTGCTTGATCAGAGTGGAGCGCGGCGCTGGGTCCAAGACAGAGCAGATGGACTCGATAACGGTGAAGCCGTGCATCGACTTCAGACACTCGCTCAAGGGGCCTAGAAAACTCACGATGGGCCACTCCAAGGAGGAGGACAACCAGCAGTACGTCGGGGGCATGAGGCATCCGAGGCGCAGCCCGGAGTTCATGAAGTACTACGGGACGGTGGGCCTGATCATCCATTGGAAGATCGACGATTATCTCAACGACCACCCGGTGGCGGAGCGCCAGTGTCTCGAGGCCCTCGGGAGCGAGGACTTGGGTGCAGGGCCCGACGAAAACCACCAGCGGGAGATTCGGAACATCATCGGCGCTTGCGTCCACGAGGCGAACCACGAGCCCGTGCAGGGCGAGCGCTGCCAGTCGAGCATCCGGGCGCGCCTCCTCACGAGGTGGGCGGAGGCAGCGAACGACATCGACGCGATGCACGTCCGGGAGTGGCTCGTGGAGGGAGCGCCGGCTGGGATCGAGGTCGACATCCAGGATCCTGGTATCTTTCCGCCGGTGCACGGGCCCGACGACCGCGACGAGGGCGACCTGACGGAAACCCCAGACGCAGAGCTGAGAAACTACACTTCGGTTGATGGCGACCCGCACGCCGACCCGGAGGTGGAGCGGCTGAAGGCGTCGGGATTTGTCAAGACGTTTCACAGCAGGGAGGCCGTAGAGAAATACCTCGGCGGGCCGCCTCAGGTCAGCAAGCTGGGCATGATCACCAAGGTGACGAAGGCGGGCAAGACCGAGAGACGCCTCATTTTGGACTGCCGCGAGTCTGGCGTCAATGCCAGGGTCAAGCAGCGGCAGCGCATCGTCCTCCCTAGGCTGACGGACGTCATCGACGATGCGATGTTCCTCGCACAGAGGGCCGAGCAGCACCCGGAGATGGAGGTCGAGTGGATGATCTTGGATTTCACGGACTGGTTCTTCCACGTCCCGTTGCGGCCCTGCGAGCGGAAGTATTTCGTCGCGCACCACAAGGGTTGCTACCTCGTGTTCGTCACGATGGCCCAGGGCAGTTGCAACGCCCCCCTGGTATGCGGGCGCGTGGCCGCCATGCTGGCGAGGCTCACGCAGAGCATGTTCTCGCCGGAGGAGTGCCGCCAGCAGCTCTACGTGGACGATCTGTGCACGACAGCGGTTGGCACCAGACCACAGCGGGATCGCATGTTCGCCACGATCATTATCGTGTGGGCCGCGCTGGGCATAGGTCTGGCCTACAGAAAGGCCTCTCGAGGGCATTCGGTGGAGTGGATCGGCGCCCGACTCACGGTCGAGGACGCGCCGACGGAGCAGCGCCCCGGCGCGCAGCGCAGGAAGCAGGTGCGCGCCACGGCCAAGCAGGAGATTTTCGATGATGTCGCGGAGCTCATCTCCAGCTTCCGGCAGCGGAATGTGATTCCGATCAAGGAGGCGCTGGCGTTCGTGGGCAAAGCCAACCACATCGCCGGGATCGTGGAGGCTTGGAGGCCCTTCCTGCAGGACGTGTGGGGCGCCATCGCCAGCAATAGGAGCGGCGCTGCCTCGAACGCCCCTGCTCGGTGCGTCTGGCGGAAGCAGATCGAGCACGTTTTGGAATGGCTATCTGCATTTTACGCTGGATCCGCCGGCACCCTCTGCAGGGTGCACAGGGTCGACGCCTATTTCGGCCGAGGCTGCCAAGTAGTGATCACCACCGACGCGTCGCCCTGGGGATTGGGCGGCTACCTCAAGATAGGCAACGCCATCTTGGAGTACTTTTCGTCACCACTCACTGAAGAAGACGAAAAGCAGCTGGATACGCCGCGCGGGGACGCAGCAGGACAGCAAGTGTGGGAGGCACTCGCAATGCTGCAGGCCCTGCGTCTCTGGCGAGAATTCTGGCTGTCCGAGGGCGTGACGCTCGCGGCCACATCGGACAGCGTCAGCACGCTGACAGTGATCATGAAGCTTCGCAGCCGCGCCGGAGCAGCTGGGCTCGGCCAGATCGCTAGGGAGCTAGCGCTGGACTTCGGAGACTGCGCGTACAAGCCGCGCGTGCTCGAGCACCTGCCGGGCATCGCAAACGACACTGCGGACGAGCTTAGCCGTAGGGCGCAGCCGGGCCATAGGCTTAAGGCCCTAGCAGTGCTGAGCGGAGCGACAGAACGGCATCCCCTGAGAGGCAGCACGTTCTGGAAGGCCACTGCCGCCGCCGCTCGGAGCGGCATTGGGGGCGCAGAGGGGCAGCAGTAGCCGGCAGCGCAGCCCAGCATAGATCGCTCAGATGCGGGGCTGCCATATGAACTCATGCATTGTTTTCCTTAGTGCAAACGTGCCTTCGAGATAGATTCGCATCGTGATGGGGAGGGCGGTGCACGGCAGCATGCGCGAGAGTCGGGACATGCCGGGCTGCATGGGGGGCGCGATTTGCCCGCCATGCGTCGCCTGGGGGGGGGGCGGGTTTTGTTGCCTTCCTCTTCCTGATCTCTTTCACCTCCGTGTTGCCCCACCTCTGCCTCCTATCCTATCTCCTATCCTTCGTGCGATCCGCCAGGCAAGTGGTCAGCGCTGCGCTGACCTGTTGCACCCGCCCACCTGTTACGATCCGAGTCCGGGGCCAGAGCGTCGGCCACGCGGCCGGGACACCAGTTCATTGGGAGGGCTCCGCGCCTCAGAAGCGAGGTCGTTCACAGCGGAAGGGGCTTCGCCCGGCCGGGCGCGGCGGTAGGAGGAGGAGGAGGAAGGAGGGAGGAGGCTTCCAGCCTGCGATCTCTCGGTGTCGCTGAGGCGCCAGCTGCGTGTCCCGCGGGGCAGGCTTTTAGCCGGCATCCCATAGGGTGCTGCAGGGGAGTAGGCTTGCAGCCGGCGACCCCTTGCAGCCGGCCCGGGGCCCTCGCGGGGCCGGCTTTCCGCCGGCGGCGCCACGGAGGCTACAAGATCAATTCGGGCCACACATCCCAAAGGCACTGTGTGGCGGCATCCTTGTTTTGATATTACCCCGTTGGCAGCCACTCAGACGCACTCACACTCAGATCGAGGCTACAAGATGTTGGCTTTCAGCCGACACGAGCCGTGGCCATTTTATGCGGCCCCCCGGGGGCAGGCTTTTAGCCGGCGCTGCGACGGTTCAGGCTTTCAGCCGAGGACGCCGGTGCAGCTAGCTCGTGCCAACGGGCTCAGGCTTTTAGCCGGCGCTCCATGGGCGGTGCAAGAGGGTAGGCTTTCAGCCGAAGATCCCCTTGCAGCCGGCAGTGCATTCCTTTGGGCTGGCTTTTAGCCGGCGGCCCCAAGGGAAGCGGCAGGAGGGGGGCTTGCAGCCGAGGATCCCTCCTGCGGCCGGGCGGTTTCCCTCGGGGCAGGCTTTGAGCCGGCGACCCCGCGGGTGGCCACGAGGGAGTATGATTGCAGCCGATGATCCTCTCGTGGCCGGCGCGGCAACCCGGGGGCAGGCTCTGAGCCGGCGACCCCGCTGGGTGCTCGTAGGGATTGGCTTTCAGCCGCTCCCCCCTTGGGGATTGGCTTTCAGCAAAAAAATCGTCCTTGACAAAACCCCCCTAAGGATCCTTAGGGGGGGGGGTTCCAGAAACACATTTTCAAGGCTTCTGGAAGCGTATTTCGTGTGGCACGAGTTTCGGCCACGTTCGCAGGACAACGTTTGGGCGTGCCGGCCCATCCGCTATCGTTTTGTGCCGGCCCTCGTTTTCACGAGTTTCGGCCGCGTTCGCAGGACAACGTTTGGGCGTGCCGGCCCATCCGCTATCGTTTTGTGCCGGCCCTCGTTTCACGAGCTTCGGCCACGTTCGCAGGACAACGTTTGGGCGTGCCGGCCCAGCGCTGTCCTGGCCACCGATCTCCCCAGACGGGATCTGGGAAGCACCCTGTTTGACAGGCGTGGGCTTTCAGCTCAAACATTGTGCTGCTGCGCAGCACCGCGCCCCTGTCGGTCGAACGCCCTCGCAGATGCAGGCCGCGCGCGCCTCCGTAGCCACCTTGGACCGGACCGGATGGCCACGCGCGCGCGCCGCGGCGATGGGTGGCAAGCGGAAGCATCCTGGCTTTCTGCCGCGCGTTGACTATCAGGACGTGATGGCGCGCAGACGCGTCGTCGCGCCAATGGCGCCACTGATCACGGCGTCGCCGGGCGAGTCTGCAAGCACTCCCGCCGCCCGCACGGAGTGCACCGCTAGCGCGCCCTCGGGATCCCGCGCTTGCGCCTCCGGACCAGCGTGGGCGGAGAGAGGCGACGCGCCGTCGGCGAACTTCACCCGGAGGGGGTCGCAACAGAAGGCGCTGGAGGCGACGCAGGACGAGCCCTCCAGGAGAGCGGCTCTCGGGGCGCTGCAGAATGACTTCGTTGCGTCCTCGGCGAGAGGGTCGGTTTCATCACTATTGAAAACTTGGGAGCTCTTCCATGGGGCCTGGTTTGGCGAAGGCGTCCCAGTCGTGCCGCTTACGCCCGAGAAGCTGCAGGCGGTCGGCGCCGTATTCAAGGCAGGGCGGTACCGGTCCTTCCAGAATTACCTCGGGCGCATCAAGGAGCGGCACGTTGAGGAGTACGGGGAGCGGGGCCCGGCCCTTGAGCTTGAAGCTAAGCGTGTCGTGCGGTCGGTGCTGCGCGGGATAGGGCCTGGCTCGCAGAGGGACCCCTTGGACCTCGACCTCATCGTGGAGGCGGTGAGGGCAGGCTGCGTCCCCGACGCGTTGCCCGTCGTCGCTGGGGGGCCGATCGGGCCAGCCAACTTGGCTGCCCTAGCGGTCTTCTTCCTCCTGAGGGAGATCGAGGCGTCTTTGACCCTGTACAGGAACGTCAGCGTCGACCTCGCGAACAAGCGGGTCACTTGGTTGCTCCCAGGGTCCAAGGCAGACCCGATGGCCTTGTCCACCTCGCGCACCTGGGCCTGCGTCTGCGCAGCGATGGCGCCGCAAGGGTGCCCGTACCATTGCGCGGTGAGCCAGGCAAGGCTGGTCGAGAAACACTTCGCGGACGCGCAGGGCAAGGTGCCGGACTCGATTCCTTTCTTCCCCACGCTAGCGGGAACTGCGCCTAGCAAGGAGGCCATCACGGCGACGTACGAGGAGCTGCACCGGCGCGCCGGGGCCCCCACGCACGACGACGAGGGCAACCGGTTGCTGGGGGGGCACTCTGCGAGAATAGGTGGTGCCAGGATGCTCGCCCGGACAGGGGTCCACGTCTACCTCATCGAGTTGATGGCGAGGTGGCACTCCCCCATGCTGCTCCACTACGCGCGGGAGGCCCCACTGCACCAGATTAGCAGCGAGTTCGTCGAGCGGCGCGCCATGAACAAGGTGAACGACACCATTCGTGACATCATGGCCAAGCTGGAGAGCCTTAGCGCCACGCCGGTCGAGGCGAACAGCGACCTGGTGGGCCGCGTGCGCGCCTTGGAGGCCGCGCCGCGCGCGGAGAGGCATGGCAGGGCGGAGCACGTCAAGAATGACGGTTCCGGTGTCTGGCACCGTCTCGCAGTAGAGGGGCTGGGTATCCCTGCTGACCAGTGGCGCACTACGTGCGGTTGGCGTTTCGCTTTCCACAGGTATACTCTGGCCGCGGGCTGCTTGCAGCAAGGCGCAAAGCGCTGCGAGAAATGCTTCCCGCCTGCGGGCGCAGAGCACGGACTGCGCGGGGAAGACTCAGACCCCGAGTAAGCCTGAGACGGATTGACATCGTCTGTCCGTCGCCTGGAGGCCAGTTGCCCTGGCAGCCTTGGAGCAACCGCAAGCGAAGGAAGAGGTGCGCCACGAGGCGGAAGGGGGGTGCTCGCTATAAGCGCGCCCCGGCGCACCATCTTCCCTATCCCAGCAGAGTGGCTCAATTGATGGCACCTTGTGTATAACATCATCCATCTATCTCACATCCGTCTGCTCATTGGAGTCTGCGCAGTAACGGTCTGGACCGTCTGGGCGCCCTCCCAGTGCAGGGTGGGCGGGCGGCTCTTGAGTCGAGCGAAGAATGTTGGGAAGAACAGAGCTTGCAGTGTGGTGGTAACATTCGTGGGAGACTCTCCGGTGGGGGGGCGGGTTAGCATGCCATGCGGTGCAGCAGAAGAGGCAGCGAGATCCGTGGCCATTGTGGCTCAAGGATCGCTGCAACTCTCTGCTGCCACTCTCATCGCCCACCCGCCCACTCCTGGCACCATTGGGCCACGATGAGGGGCATCTCTGCATGGCATGCCCCCCCTCACCTACCGACCCACGGGCACGCCTAAATGTGCACTATGCGGAAGGGGGGTGCTCGCTATAAGCGCGCCCCGGCGCACCATCTTCCCTATCCCAGCAGAGTGGCTCAATTGATGGCACCTTGTGTATAACATCATCCATCTATCTCACATCCGTCTGCTCATTGGAGTCTGCGCAGTAACGGTCTGGACCGTCTGGGCGCCCTCCCAGTGCAGGGTGGGCGGGCGGCTCTTGAGTCGAGCGAAGAATGTTGCCCTCAGTGGCCCCGTCCGTACCCTCCGCGGCCCAACATACGTATGCCCTTCGTGGCCCCCGCTCGTTCGCGCCCGTTGTGGCCCCATGTGCATGCCTTTCGTGGCCCCGCTGTCGCCGTTTGTGGCCCCCTCATTGTCCTACGTGGCCCAGGTGCTACCCTCAGTGGCCCCATCGTTGCCTTCTGTGGCCCCGCATTATCTGCCCTTCGTGGCCCACGCTCGTTCGCGCTCTTCGTGGCCCCATACGCATTCCCTTCGTGTCCCCGCTGTCGCCCTTCGTGGCCTACTTCGTGTCCTTCGTGGCTCTGCTGTCGTTCTCTCTCGCTCTCGTTTTCGCTCGTCGTCGTCGTCGACGTCGCCGTCGTTGCCGTCGTCGTCGACGTCGTCGTCGTCTTCGTCGTCGTCGTGGTCGGTCCCCTGTCCGTCCCTCTTGGGGTCGGGTCGACGGTCCGCGGCCGCCCCGCCGATCAGCTCCGCTGGCCAGGCCGACGGTCCGCGGCCGCCCCGCCGCTTGCCGGGGCCCGGCCTGCAGGGAAGAAAGGTATACCCCCCAAAAGGGGTTCGATCGAAGACGAAAAGGGCGGGTATCGAGGGTTTGGGAAATTCGCGTTATTCGACATTCGAGCAGATAAGGGCGAACAGTCTTAAAATGATTGTTGTTGTTGTTGCTGCTGTTGTTGTTGTTGTTGGTCTTGTCATTCTTTTTGTTGTGGTTGTGGTTGTGGTTGTGGTTTTGGTTGTGGTTGTGTTTGTTGTGTTTGTCGTTGTTGTTGTTGTTGTTGTTGTTGTTGTTGTTGTTGT